CCGGCCTAACGCCAGGGCTGCGGGGCCGAGCACGGCCGAGGAGCCCACCCCCCCGCGGAACAACAGCCCGCAGACGACGGCTACGGCGACGCTGAGCACCAGCGGCGGCGGGAAGGGCCTCGCCGCGACGCGGCTCCCGACGCCGAATGAACCCCCAACGGAGCCCACCGCCTTGGGCTCGCCAGAGAAGGAAGTAGAGAAAACAGGAAATGCAGGGAACGCGGCGCAGGCCGTGCAGGCTGCTCAGATCCCACAGGCCGCACAGACAGGACAGACACCTGTTGGGGTAAAGGCCAAGGCCGCGTCGGACGCATCGGGGCGACGATCTGTGGGGGAACCAGTCACTAACGGCGATACCTCCACCGAGAACGTGGGCCTAAAGGTCGAGCCTCGTCCGAAGGGCCCCACAAGCCGACAGATCAAAATGGAGGCTGACAGAAAATACGAAGACGCGGAGTACGCCACCGCAATTGAGTTGTATACAAAGGCTATCGAGCTACAGCCACTAGACAAGGCTACTCAACTCAAGCACCTCTATGGCAATCGCAGCGCGGCGTGTTTTATGGATCATTGCTATGCCGAGTGCGTCTTCGACTGTCTAGAGGTAATCCGACTCGATCCGACCAACACGAAGATGATTTCCCGCGCGGCCCGCTCCGCCGCAACGATGGGAGACCTCACACAAGCCATAAAGATCCTCGAGAAGACGCCGTCCGAACACCTCACAGACGCCATTTCGATCGAGCTCAGCAAGTTTAAAAGCGGGCTTGACATTTACCGACGCGCCGAGCGGGGCTTTGGTACCTCCGACGGCGACGAGCGGTATCGCATGTTGGTTGCGCAGTTCAGCGATACCGTCCCCTTTCGTGTGCGCTACGCCGAATCGCTGATGGAGCAAAAGCAATACGCAAAGGTCGTGGAAGCGCTGGAAGTGGTCGCGTCCTCCGCGAGAACTTCACAATTGTGCAAGATAATGGCGACTTGCTTATATCAATCAGGATTTGAATTCTTCGAGCGTGCGCGGTTGTGCTTGGCAAAGCCCTCCAAGCAAGATTCGGACTGCGAGGAATTACTAAAACTTATCGAGATTGTCGAGGACGGCAAGCAAAAGGGTAACAACGCCTTTGCAACCAAAGATTTTTCAAGTGCGGTGATGCACTATACCGAAGCTATTCGGCTTGCAATTGATAATGATCAAATTCTTCGAATTTTATACTGCAATCGCGCCGCTGCTCACAAAGAGCTAGGCAATTACCGTGATGGCATTAACGATTGCACTAATGCTATTTTACTAGATAAGGATTTTTGTAAAGCGTACGCGCGCCGTGCGCGGTGTTATCAACACTTAGGGGACAATTTTGCCGCGGTTCAGGATTTCAAAAAGGCTCTTGAATACGATCCCTCTAATCGTGAACTAGCCAAAGAACTGAAAAGCGCAGAGCAAAGTCTCAGCAGGGAGTCTGAACTGGAAAAGGACTTATATTACCAGTTAGGTTTATCGCGTACGGCCACGGATAAGGAAATTAAAACCAAGTACCGCGAGTTGTCGCTTCGGTGGCATCCAGACAAGTGCATTGGAATGAGTACGATTGAAAAGGATCGATCTGAGCACAAGTTTAAGATTATTGGTGAAGCCTACGCTACACTTATCAATCCATCGAAGCGACGGGATTACGATCTAAAAATGGACCGCGAGCGCCTTTCACACCTTGGCATGTACGGCGGCTTTTCAAGCACATATAGCAATTCAGGAGAGTACAACCGAAACACCAATCGGCACCGCACGGGACCAGGAGGATTCTGGTAGAGCGATACTCTAAAAGATACAAAAAGAGTGAATATACAATGAAAAGGAAATTATTATAAAGAACTTCTCCTCCCCATCATTGACACACTGACATCCTACATTTAAATTCACACACGAAAAAGTACAAGCGTGTCTTTGCAAAGGCTTAGGGAAACGATATAGTATCTTTTACTTCATGTGATTTTCGTAAGAAGCAAAATCCTCTTGTTCACAGATTGCTTTTTGCTACAGAGTATTGCGATTGATATATTCATTTAGGGGCCAAACAGAAGCGGAACACCTAAAACATTTTATTTTTGTTACCGTCGAGTTTGCATAGATCTCTAATTTTTTTTTCATATGATGATTCCTTCTGAAAATGCTTTCTTTTATATACTATGAGAGGTTCTACATAAAATGAAAATGTTTTCACAGCTTTGGAATATTAATTTGGCTAGATAATGGTGCTTAAGGGGGAAATAAAAAATAGAATCGCAACGTTTTCTTTCCCTACTCATGTATAAGACAAGAGGTGGAAAACGCGAAGAATGTAATTTTTCTATTTTACTGTACGAAAAAGTGAATTTCATTACACTAAAAGAGAATGGAAGAAATGTCGCTTAATTCCTAAGCATACAGACTTTCTTGACTCTTAGTAGTACAAGTAATTTCCTCTTTATTTTTCTAGAAATGTGACACATCTAAATTTTTGTTAGCATCTTTCTTACTATTTATTATTCGAGCCATCTAGGCTTTTTCCCATGAAACGATTGGAGAATTGAGTTTGGAAGAAAGACACAATCGACCATGGGGTTAAGGATAGTAGAGCGCAGATGCATTCACCTTTTAAAGACTTAAAGTATCATATTTTAAGTTACTTTTGTCTGATAACTAAAATTATAGATTTTTTTATTCGTATTGTAAATAGCACTTCGTTGTGTTAAATGAGAGAAAAAGCACCGTTTCCATCCCTTTTAATTCACAATCCAATCAGCTATCCTTACTGTTGTTTTTCCATTATCTTTCAAACTCTTAATTAGGAAGTTTAGTTTCTTAATCTCAAGGGTTTTACATGGTTTCTTAACCATTTTAAAGTATAATCGATATCCTTTTTATAAATAATATTCTGTTTTCAAAAAAAAGTTAATTTCGGTTTTTAATTTTAGCACTTAAAATTGAATGCAGTTTATTATATATATTAGGCATTTCGATTATGCAGGTTAGGATGTGCATTGTAAATTCCAACGCAGAACGTCTGAAGATTGAAATTCACGCATGTCAATATTTATCTGCATTGTCTGATGTACAATGTGAGAGATCGAGAGAACGTAAACTAACATTTATCATATTTACATCTGACTTTCTGCATTGGCGAAACTGAGGGAATGATTTCAGACGTTGCCTTTACCGCTGAATATAATCGACAAGGGGTTCCAATCGAGTCGCTTATTGTGACAACGAAGCACTTTCAGAGAATGTACTTTAAGGAAACTTTAAATATATCTGTGAAGGTTAAGATGTGGGGATTTTTTTTTGCTTCCTCATTTTCGTGAGATTAAAGGTTCTTTGCAGCACGCTGGTTTCTTTTCTTGCTGGACTCATCATGGCGTGGATTGCTTTGTTGTGAATGTCGTTGCTTGTGTGATTCCAGTACAGCGTTTTTGGGTACGCAACATCATCATCTTTTATGGCCACTTCTTCTATAATTTTTTTGATCTCAACCACATTGACAATGAGAAGATTCTTGGCGAACTGCTGTTGAAGTTCTACACGTATAAGACGTCATGAGAGGGGACGGCTTCCTCAACATCCTAACCCGCCGCGCCCATTCGCTGGTGAAATTTGAACGCGGCTAACGCTACCGTGAGGAGGCTACCCATATATCTACAAAATAGGCTGTTATTTATAGAATTGTGTTGAGGAATGGTTGATGGGGGTACCAACGAACATCAGGCGCAATTTAACGTCCATGCGAAACATGCACCTGCTCACTTCTGCTTCTCCTTCCCCCCTCCTCTGTGTTACTGTGGATGGAACCTGAACCTCTGATAGGTGGATTCCCCCCTTTCCCCCTCCCCTATGATTCATTACTCGTCCCGGAAGTAGAAGCTCCCATCGACCTTCTCTACTTCAATCACCAGGAGCGGCGGGGGACGATCGAGGGCGGCTTTTCATCCTTCACCGATATAACCCAGGGGGGGAGGGGGGGGCCACAAGACTGGGTTTCACCACCTTGTGTACCTTCAGCGGTGATTTTTACCAAACAAACCACGATGGCGCGACGGGGACAAGGGGCGTATTTTGGATTTCATACGCGTGGTCCTTTACATGTGGGAGAACGAACATCTCGGGACCGCCCTGTGAGGAGCCTCGGCGCCGGGGCCGATGGCTTTTGCTGCGGCGTTTTGCCAAGAATGACGAACTCTGTCGGGAGCTCGACTAGCGAAGTACGCAACAGGTGGCGAAGTCGTTCAGTTTTGATGTTTTGACAAAACGTTTTGGGGAGAGGGTTTGAGTGTGTTGCAACATTTTTTTTTGAGGAATCAGAAAATCATCTGAAGCGCCGAAATTATTATATACCCTAATCCTAATTTACGATATCGCAGATTTATTATTGTTTTCACTAACCTGAATTCTGGAAAATGAGCAACCAAAATCACTTTAGTTCTCTGAGTATTTTGTCTATATATTATTTAAAAAGTAACATTGCCGCACATTTTAACTCTTAACGTCGAGAAAATCTACACTGCGAAAAAATTGTCTATCGATCATGCTTCACTTGATTCCTCAGAAGGTGAGACAGTTCGTTTTATCGGAATCGGATTGTAAGAACCTGCTTTTATGCTCTTTGACTACGAAGAACATTCTGAAGTCTATTCCTATAGATACTCTTGTGTCTCTTTCCGCAACAGAAGCATCAGAAAAGTTAGATGGCATTCCCATATTGGAGTCTGACTGTTCTGACAAACAGGACGGAGACTTAAAGAACAGTACCTCTGAAGAGTATACTAAGGATGAGGACTGGAAATTGGTTTATGATCTGATGCGCGCAAGTAAACAGGGAATTTTGTTTCTGCGCGAACACATGGCCCGCTTCATGGAAAGTCTTGAAAACATGTCTCCGTACCCCTTGCCATCCTACACAAATGATTTCATTAAATCGTGCTTGCAGGAGTATTCAACTACTCCGAACGGGGGTCTGAATCCAAACTTAAGTGACAGAAACTCAAAATTTCAGATGGATCAGAACATGAAAGTTATTATGTGGGTTAAGACTAATATTAACAGTGTTAACGGCGCGTCCCCGTCTGAGGAGAAGCCAGACCAAATGCTATTCATCATTTACTTCATAAAATCCTTTTTTCCGCCACCGGAGTGGTATGTGAAGGGCATCCAGTTTGCGTTTCTCTTCAATGCTCGTCGCCAAAATCCTCGTTTTAAGGTCATTCAATCACAAATAATCAGTCGTGCGAAGCAGCTAAGGGAAGCCAGTGGAGCCTTCGAAATTATGCTGGTTGATGATGCAAGCAACAATTACCTGGTTCCGGAGGGTTCTCGATCGAATTATCTACTTATTACCCAATCTGGAAAGATCAGATGTTCCGATAAGTCTGATATTTTAATGGGGATTACCTTATTGGCAACGACACGGGCCGCCAAACGTGCAGGCTTAGGGGCAATTGAGCATTGTAAGCTGACGTTGAAAGATATTTGCAGCACTTACGCTTTGGTGATGCTCGGAACAAGCCCTGGGGTGCTGCCCGTGCGAGAGATACTGCTTTACTACGACGTGGAATCGGAAGCAAATTTCCGTGCAGCTGCTTCCTTTCTCAACATTGATGTTGAGGGAATGAAGAATTTTAAAACTATCTCGTTCGATCCCCCAAGTGCTGTCCTAGAGTTTGTCGTTCAGAGTGACGCGATCAATCAGCTGATGAAGGCTTACGATGAGGAAAAGGTTTCGTAACGCCTGAAGTGGTAGCATAGGTATTTAAACATTTAAAATACTCCTCTATGTAGTGCTTGAATTTTTTTTTACCATTATATATATTAGCATTTCTTTATTATATTTTGAGAAAACGAATTCAGTATATATTTTTTCGCTTATATTTACCATCTATCCTTCCATTAGCTCCTTTTTAATAGACATCTTGTTAAGTAAGGTAACCTTTTTATTGCCATTTTCAAAATTATGAAAATTTCTCACTGTAACAAGAACTGTTCACAATACGGTATTAATTTACAGATGGTATAAGTTGATAAGACTCACTTTTACTGTGATTATATATATATATATAGATATATCAATGATATTTTCCATTAAATGTTACTTAAAAAAAAAATTATTCAGTATATTTTGTCTCGTTTTTTTTGTTGGGTTTACACATTGACCTGTGGTTCTGAGTATGCAATGTTGTTTCTATTCTTGTCTAGCATACGTACTTTTCTCTATTTAGCTTTATATTTATTCAACTATTTTTATTTAATGCTTGCGTGACTAGTGGAGTAGCCAACTTAAAGGTTAGTAATCCGATGTTCAAGCGTATCGGATGGCTCAGAATAATGGAAGGGGAACGCAAATACAACTTTGTTGGAGAGGCACCTATTCAAGGTGCAGGTGGGTTACCCTTTTATGGCAACCTCTATACAGGTCGTGTGGATAGCCAGAATTACGTTCCGCAGCGCCAGGGTGGATCTTATTTGCTTGAAAAGAATGGCACACTTTGGGACGATACTGCCGTTCGGGCGAAGATCGAAAAGTGCCCGTATTTTGCGTTGTCTGATCAAGTGCTATATCACAATATGGATCCTGTCTATTTAGATCCTGGGGTGCTCACCCCAGAGGAGCATCATCTTCTTCTTCTTTTTAGTCGTGCGTACTTTGAAAAGTGGAAGGTGCTTCACAAGAGGCCGCCCAATGGGTTTAAGCGTATTCGCATTACCTACGGAGGGACCCAACTCCTCGATAATATCATCAGTCTGCTAAATATCTCTTCCAAAGTGGCGATGACGCTCAAAATGGAATACTTTCTCGACGACGCGAGCTTGATTGCGATGAATCCACAGTGCTGGGATACCGCCTATCTTGATCCATTAAACATGGACCACTTTTCAGGGAGGGTGCTCGAGTTTGGGGATATGCCAAAATTCCAGCGGGAACAGTTCTTTATGCTTTTAAATCAGATGCGGCGGATTGTGGTGGAGCGCAGGGACACAATGGCTTCTAACGGCGGCGTGCCAGAGAGGGTTGTCCTGCCCTTCACCAAAGGGGTCACGCTCTACGACCTGTACAAGGAACTTGACCTTCCTCCGTACTCCGGACAGCTGAAGGTGTACAATTTGATCGATAGGATTGGAACAAAGCGAGTTCAAACGCTGAAGGATGAAGATACATACTTTGACTTTTTGGTCCTTTCGTTTTACAAAGCAAATCTCAATCAGGCGGTTCTATCGGAAGACCTTGCGGACGAAATGGACAATACGTGTCACTACCACATTACTGTGGAGCCTTTCACAGTTATGGAACGACGAGTTGGTCGGTGGTTTTAGTATAGCGCAAATATTATGTGTAGCTTATTTTTTTACTGATAAATTCAAAAAATATATATACTCAGGGTAAAAAAAAGCATAAACTTTATACTTATTTGGTTATTGTTGTTGAATACTTTCTAAAGAGCTAAATGGTGTCTAATGCAAATTGTGAATATTTTTCTCCTTCACGTTTTTGACATAATTCCCGAGACTGTGATTAGGGACGCAAGAGTTCTTAAAATTTATTTTTTATACCTTAAATTTCAGAGATAACTATTGGAATAGAAGCCTTTTCACACCTTGTGTGCTTCATAAAATATTCCTTATATTCTATTGCATTACATGTAAGCTTCTACACTGACACCCAAGTAGTAATCTTCATTTAACACTTATAATTATTCTCGATGCAAGCTTGGACTCGTAGTGCGACCGGCGCTTCGACGGGTCACCCCTCAGGAGTGGTTCGCACCACGGCCCCAATAAATTCAATAGCACCTCCTCTACCCGCGGCGCGCCGCCGTTTTCAACTTACAGAAGAGCAGCGACGGGAGATCAATGAAGTTTTTGAGCTTTTTGATTACGATAAAAATGGCCTGATTGATGCTCGCGAGATGAAGGTCAGCATGCGTGCTCTAGGGTTTGAAGTGAAGCGTGATGAGGTGATACAGTTGATGCAGGACTCCGCTGCGCGCGATCAACACAACCAACCGTTAATGGATTTGGAAGGATTCACGGATATCATGACGGAGAAATTTTCCCAACGAGACCCAAAGGAGGAAATAATTAAAGCCTTCCAACTTTTTGATGAAAAAAAAACGGGTAAAATTTCGCTGCGCTCGCTACGCCGTGTAGCGCGGGAACTTGGTGAGAACATGAGCGATGATGAGTTGCAGGCAATGATCGACGAATTCGATAAAGACCAAGATGGAGAGATAAACTTAGAGGAATTCATGACAATTATGTTGGAGGAAGATGACTGCTAATGTGTATGCACAAAAAGAAAGTAAAATGGATCAGTGCCCAGCCCAACTAGAGAAGGGCTTGTAAAAATCTCGAACCTATGGTAAGTCACTTTTTTGTATGCATAGATAAGTAATCAAATACAAACGTTTCAGTTACTTTACAAGTTGCTATATATTTTAATCTGTGAATTCTTATTTGTTAGGGTTTAATGATATTTGAGATGGAAAACTGTTATGAAGAGCATAGAGTAATATACTTTCTTTCAAAATGAAAGCACAACAAAGTACATCAAAAGAGGCTTAACGTTTCGACTGAATATTGCTCAATATATGAAGTTCAGCATACAATTTTGTAATTTTATACTCTTTCATATTCAGATGGGTTTCCTTTACGAAGTCATTATTTTAGGTTATAGAAGGCTAAAAAGGAAAATAAGTTGATTGAATATATAATTTCATTAGGTTTAATTTGCACTGTCTTTTTTTTTTAGTTTTCAATGGAGAAAAAGAAGAGGAATAATACGTTAACTCAGCTTATTTGGGGAGTTTTTAAGCGCGCAAAGTCAAAAAAAGAAACAACTGAGTATGTGTCGGGGAAAACTGATCACGTTTGCTCGTGTAAATGCAGCACGGTTAAATGTACCCGGCCATTGAAATCCGAACCGATAACTATCGAACGAAGTCATAGAAGCAAGACCCACAATCTTATGGATTCCTCGAATAGTGATCCCGATGATGACCCCCAGTGCATCTCCTCGAGTGTGCTCTCCGACCCTATCCCCTCTTCCTTCCGGCACTGCAACACCGACAATCTGTTCTCCAGCTTCAAAGGAGTAGAAGGGACCCCGCTCATGAATCACAGCCCTCTCCCAGGCTCCTTTACGGTTTTCAACACCACCCTTAGGAGCGACCCGTCCGCGACGACACGGATGCGACGGCTGTCCCTCCACGAGGACCGGGAGACGCTCGCCCTGGCACAGGAGGAGCTCTCTCCCCCAGCCGGCCTCAACGGGGCCGTGAGCTACTGGAAACTGCCGTGGTCGCAGTCGATGGTGGTGATGTGCCCGTATTGCCACCGCCCGCGTACCCACTTCACAGGAGCCCCTCTGGACGACGCCGCAACCTCCACACGAGCGGTGAGGGCCGTCGAAGGGGGCGGCGCCGACCACCACGCCGAGGACGAGCACGAGGAAGACTGCTTTTGCGAGATGCACTGTCGATGCCCCGTCGGGGCCACGCTTGACCCCCCGGCGAGGCGAAACCATCCCCATCTGGCGGGTCCAACGGCGGAGGACCCCTCCATGACAGTCTCCTCTACGCCCATTTTCCTGGCGGTCACCAACCTCCCCTTGCGGACCAGGACATCCGAGGCGGTCTCTGAGGAATTCGATCCCACGAATGCGCAGGAGGCTCGCCTGAGCGTGTCTTTAGTGGCACCCCTCACCAACTCCCGGATTCTCCAGACTCGATCCTCACGAGACTCCGCGGACGAGCAGCCGAAGGCAAGCCCGCTTATGAGTTGGCTGAGAGAGCAACGCAATGTGAAGTCGGGAAAACAGATCTAAGTCCCGCACGCGTTGTGCTTTCTCTTTATTCCCCCATCTTTTATTCGTTCTTTTCATTTCCTTATTTTCCCCCTTCGTAATCCATTTTGCGTTGAAAGTGTGAGATACCCACTAAGTTCTTGTTTCTATGGCACTTCATTGTATCTTCTCCCTATGAATTGATTTTTCTCTCTTTGTTGCCATCGATTTGGGTATTTTTTTCATTCCTTTCTAATTTTAATTCTAATACACGAATATAATTCGTTTGACACAAAAGGGGCCAAATTTTTTGGCCGAATGCTCAGACCCTTTCAATAAAGTTGATACTTTTAATTAGTTTACCTTTTTATTGCATGATTGTTGGTAATATAAAGAGGATAAATATTTAAACTGGAATAACTATTTAAACGTATTTTCATCAAGTTCTCAATATTTCGAAAAAATCATGCAGGCAATGGATATTTTTGCTAAGCAGAAATAGTTTACATGTTTTCTTTTTCCCGGATATTTTCTGAGAAAATATGCGTATTAATAGGCATCTTAAATGAATCAAAGGTATCTTTGTTCGTGCGAGAATATATAGCATTAGTTTTGAATTAATACATTTTTTTTGTAATTAGTCCAGATCCCATCTGTTCTATCACCACGTAGAATCTTTTTTATCCTGAAGACTTTATCTATACCACAGCTTCGTAATTTTAAACAACAGCTAGCTTCAGAGTGTATGGTGGAGTGAATATACCAGATAAGGAAATAAATAAACCATTGAATATGGGTAAGTGCATTCTGTGTAATTTTTTTATCTGGCCTATTTGTAATAAAAGCGAATATAAAAATTTCTTCTTTATATTTGAATAGATTACTTTCGTTTCATCATTAAGCATTCACGCAAATTCGTTCGAAGGAATCATTATGACTACATTTTTTTTCTACTATTGTTGTAATCTCCTCGTCTCTCAGAAAGTAATGGATAAAAAAGTTTGTGTACATTGGACTCTAATGTAAAACTAGTAGAGAAAACTAACAGTTTTTTCTTTCGAAGACCCCTCCGGTACTAGCTGAAGTGAATCTTTTTTTCAACATCAGAGTTCAATCATCTCAGATTACTCTTTTTATTTACATGGTGAGAAATATTTAAACGTGTTCTAAGGCCATTCTTTTTTAGCACTATAAACTGAAAAAATACTACATTAGTTACCAATATTATTTTTTATTTCTCAATGGAAATATATATTATCTTTACATATATTCAATAGGCTGAAATCCATCTAGTAGAAATAGATGAATAGTGAACCCCATTTAATTCCAAAAAAATAATCATATATTTATAGACAACTACGTTATCTATGCACCCTTTTTTTTAGAGTGCGTGTTTTTCTCTTTCCTTATTTTATTTAACCTTTTAATTACCTTTAGTATATTGTAGGTTGGTCCTTTTGATATCATTATTTTAACAAATGTAAGCTATTTTCAGCACAAATTTTGTTGTAAAAGTATAGTTTTACTTTCTTCTTTTGAATATAGCGTTATATTTCATTGTATCATCTTTTTTGTTTAAAATATTTCTGAGCAAATTTTTATTGTCAGTGTGAGTTCGATTTATTGTATGTTGATTCAATGAAGAAGTCAGGGAAGTACCTTTATTGAAGACTGTTTAATACATGTAGGTAGAAATTGAATCAGAAAATTTTGTGTTCTTTGGTGTATTATCGTGCCTGAAACTTTGGGCATTTATGTTTTAAGTAATAGCGTTTATTATCCTTGATATTTTATTCAGGAAGCATTTCGATATCCATTTAATACATTTCCATCTACGTGAAATTGTCTGTTTTCTAACGGTTATTTTATTGCCATCCGTCTTGTTTCACATTTATCTGTTTAGGATTCCATAGATACCTTCGGATTCTAAACCATCTCTAATCAAATGCGCTAGGAATGAAGGCATCCGAGACCTTTGATGAAACCTTAGATATCGGTGGAGACGAGGCGCCCTATCTTGTGCCGCGTCTTTCGTCCTACTCCCTTCCATCGCCCCTGAGGGAAGGGGAGGAGGGGGAGGAAGGGGGTGATCCGCATCGCGGCCGATCCGAAAGCAGCCGAGGATCCACCTCGCGGGAGGACCTCCTGGCGGACCCCGATGACCACATTTCTGTCGATTCGACCCCAGGGCCA